CACTAGCTGCCTGCTGCCCGTCCAGGTAGTGACTGAACACCCCCTGGAGCTCGTCCGTGTAGAGGTAGAGATCCTGGATCTCAATGACAACTCTCCTAGCTTTGCCACTCCTGAGCGAGAGATGCGAATCTCAGAATCTGCTGCACCAGGAGCCAGATTCCCACTGGATAGTGCTCAGGATCCAGATGTGGGCACCAACACTGTGAGCTTTTATACTCTAAGCCCCAACAGTCACTTCTCTCTGAATGTGAAGACCCTAAAAGATGGGAAGCTGTTCCCAGAGCTAGTATTAGAGCAGCAGCTAGACCGTGAAGCCCAGGCAAGACATCAGCTGGTGCTCACTGCTGTGGATGGGGGAACCCCAGCCCGCTCAGGGACCAGCCTTATCTCTGTCATTGTGCTGGATGTCAATGATAATGCTCCGACCTTCCAGTCCTCAGTTCTACGAGTGGGGCTCCCAGAGAACACACCCCCAGGTACACTGCTGCTCCGTCTCAATGCCACTGATCCAGACGAGGGCACCAATGGCCAGCTAGACTACTCTTTTGGAGACCACACATCTGAAGCAGTAAAGAATCTCTTTGGCTTGGATCCTAGCAGTGGAGCCATCCATGTGCTGGGTCCAGTAGATTTTGAGGAGTCAAATTTCTATGAAATCCATGCAAGAGCCAGAGACCAGGGGCAGCCAGCCATGGAGGGCCACTGTGTGATTCAAGTGGATGTAGGGGATGCTAACGACAATCCCCCTGAGGTGCTCCTGGCATCTTTGGTCAACCCTGTCCTAGAGAGCACCCCAGTGGGTACAGTAGTGGGGTTGTTTAATGTGCGGGATCGAGACTCGGGTAGAAATGGTGAGGTGAAGCTGGCTATATCTCCAGACCTGCCATTTCAGATCAGGCCTTCTGAAAACCACTACTCCCTGCTAACCAGCCAGCCTTTGGACCGAGAAACCACACCCCATTATATCATCGACCTGCGGGCCAGTGATGCTGGATCACCTCCCCTACACACACATCTCACCATCAGGCTGAACATTTCAGATGTTAATGACAACGCACCCCACTTCACCCAACAGCTCTACACTGCTTATATCTCAGAAAACCGGCCGCCAGGCTCTCTCCTCTGTACTGTGGCTGCCTCAGATCCAGACACAGGGGATAATGCCCGCCTCACCTATTCTATTGTAGGAAGTCAAATTCAGGGAGCCCCGGCCTCCTCTTTTGTGTACGTCAACCCTGAGGATGGACGAGTCTTTGCCCAGCGGACCTTTGACTATGAATTGCTACAGATGCTGCGAATTGTGGTTGGGGTTCGAGATTCTGGCTCTCCCCCACTGCACGCGAACACATCTCTCCACGTGTTTGTCCTTGACCAGAACGATAATGCCCCAGCTGTGCTGCACCCACGACCTGGCAGGGAGCTCTCGGCCCCTCAACGTCTCCCTCGCTCTGTTCCTCCTGGTTCCTTGGTCACCAAGGTGACAGCTGTGGATGCTGATGCGGGTCACAATGCGTGGCTCTCTTACTCTCTGTCACCGCAGTCCACAGCCCCTGGACTGTTCCTTGTGTCTGCACACACTGGTGAGGTGCGCACTGCCCGGGCCTTATTGGAGGAAGATTCTGACACCCAACAGGTGGTGGTCCTGGTGAGGGACAATGGTGACCCTCCACTGTCTTCCACAGCAACAGTACTGCTTGTTCTGGAGGATGAGGATGCAGAGGAAATGCCTAAATCCAGCGACTTCCTCACACACCCCCCTGAGCGCTCAGACCTCACCCTTTACCTTATTGTGGCTCTGGCAACTGTCAGTCTCTTATCCTTAGTTACCTTCACTTTTATGTCAGCTAAGTGTCTGAGGGGACGTGAAGATGGGGACCGGGGTGGGGGCCAGTGTTGCAGGGGCCAGGACTCACCCTCCAGGGAGTTCTATAAGCAGTCCAGCCCCAACCTGCAGGTGAGTGCCGATGGCACGCTAAAGTATATGGAGGTGACCCTGCGGCCTACAGACTCTCAGAGCCATTGCTACAGGACGTGTTTTTCACCGGCCTCCGACGGCAGTGACTTCACTTTCCTCAGGCCACTCAGCGTTCAGCAGCCCTCAGCCCTGGCGCTGGAACCTGAGACCTTGCGTTCCCGTTCTAGTACGCTGAGGGAGCGGAGCCAGGTGAGGGCTGGGTGCTCCATGCGACCCTCGGGGAGGGGGGCACGTCGGGGAAGCTGCCCGGTCCACCTATGGGCACCTTGTACTCTTTGTACCGAGCTGGCTGCATTTGAACATGGACAATCGGAGTGGTCGAGTCAGAGGTGGGGTTTTGAGCATCCGGGGGGGTTTATGGGCGGAGAGAAGGGGGCTAAACTCCTGCCCCCCCCCTACAGAAAAGGCTGGCACCCCGCACAGGAACTGGTGAATTCACACTGACCTGACAGATGCTGGGGTCCCTCATGGAGGTCACCACAGACCCACACTGCCAACCTCCTGGGCGCCGGCTCCAGTGCGATCTGCCACTCTTGAGGCTTCCTCCTCGGTTTCCCCCTACTCTCACGATCCGAGACTTCGTCGTTTAACTTCAACTCTACTTATTCCAGCTCCAGCCAACCACAGCGGCCGCCAGGTGTTCGGCTAGGGCTGGCTGGTTGTCCTTGGTGCTGCTCACACCCATGCACCGCCCCTTTCTTACCCAACTAGCCCCTTGGGTCTCTCCGGAAGCGCACGCGGTTAACTAATACCTATGTGAGGTTCCCAGGTCACTCCGGCCCAGGGTAAAGTCTGGACTCAGGAATTTCTCCCCAGCCCTCCCACCACGCCCCGCCCCCGCGGACGGGGTTACGTCCGCCCCTAACGTCCTGAGGCACGAGTGACGCTGGCCCTCTGGGGTGGAACCTCCTAGCCCCAGGTCTGGCTGGCCCTGGGGCTCTGTACTGAGTCCCTCACTCTCAGCACCTGTGTCCCTCTTAAAATACAAGACCTTGGTTGGCCAATAAGCGGTCCTAGGACTGCAGGCCTGGGACCCCGGTAGCAACAGCGACCCTTTCCTCCCCCTGTTCTGAGGATTCTAAACTAGGCTTTGGCTCCGTCGTAAATGTGCCCAGAGATCTGGGGTCAGGATTTGAGGGGGATGATACTTGAGACTCGACACATCTTCCCTCCTCTGACTGATGGGAAACCACAGCTTCTGCCATATGCCAGAGGTAGCCCTCAGAGTCGGGGAAAACAGAAATGGTAAAAGCATGTCTCCACAAACAAAGAAGCTTTTATCCAAAAAGTCTGTTCATTCTCCACCCTGCCTCTGCTCTATGGGGTTTATAGTTTTGAAACATCTACAGATACTTCTGATAGTTGATTGAGAGAGCCTTAATACACACCTCCTTAAAGAGCCAGCAGCACTCTGGAAGCAGAGGCAGGAGGACCTCTGTTGAGTTTGACTGATCAACAGAGAGAATTCCAGGACAGCCAGGGCTCTACAAAGAGACCCTGTCTTGAAAAACAAAACAAAATAGAAACAAACAAAAGGACCAGAATATCTCATGTGCCCTCCTATGTTCCTGGATTGTTATTAGCCCAATAGTAATTACTTTCACAGAGGTCAAGCAAGTCGCTCAAATTCAGAAAAAATGATACTAAAGAGTCTAACCCAGGTCTGTTGAACTTCAGTGTGCGCTTTGAATAGCTTGGCACTTGGAGTTTATAGAGCTGGACAAGAGATGGTTGGCATCTGTTAGGATGATGGAGTGCTTTTCTCCTTAGGACCTCAAATGCGGCAGGAAGTCTTTGGAGCTCCCCTTTCTCTGCAGCCCTCACTGAACAAACTTGCTCCTGCTCTTTCCACCACGGGGTGTAGAGTTTTGTTAGGCTTCCTGTCCGATCACAATCCTGAATCCTCACGCACCTTCTGCTGTCAAAGGGGACGGTGGCTAAGGGTCTGCACCCTTCTCCATGGCAGCCCCAGAACGGTGCTCACAGCACCCGAGGCACCTTCTGGGGTCCTCTCACACCACTGTCACTTGGGAGTCTCAGTGTGAGTCACTGGCAAGTCCCGGGTCTTCCTTCTCCCCAGTGTAATGTGAGATGCTCACACTCTCTTCTCCTGGGAGCCTGTGTGAGAATTAATTACCAGCCCGTCCCAGGAACTGGGAAAGACTTGACTGTAGGAGACTGTGTGGTAGGGTGATACCACATCCCCTGGAAGGACCCGCGGAACTCGGAAATTGATGACCAGCAGAGCCCTGCACATGGAGCTGGGTGTGAGAGGACTGCAGCTGGAGACTTGGAAGGCTCTTCTTGGAGACCTTAGAATGTGGTTCCTCTGAACTCCATCCCAGCCATTTTCTCTGCCTTGGACAGAGCTGCCTTGTTCTATCTCCTTAGTCACGGGCCATTGTGTGGCATGAAGTTCTGGGGGTGAGAGGCATTCTGGGGTTTGGATGCCCTATAAAGGCCCAGGCTGGCATGACTCCTAAATTAATAATGTATTTAGCTGTGGGAAGAGGTCTTTGAGAGCGAGGGCCTGGAGGAGGTGCCCCTCTGAATGTGTCACTTCGCAGCTTGGCACGAAAAGGGTTATCCAGAGCAGCAGCCATCTTGCTACAGCCGATGCTTTGTTCCCAGCAGAGGAACTGAATGGTTCCTTTCTAGGGCTGGTGGATTTTAAAAGCCTCTCTGCTATTTGAGGAGGGGGCGCTTTACTGCACTTTTCCCCCAGCTCCACAGAAGACACTTTCAGTCCTTGAATTTTGGCTCAGATGTTCTGAGTCTGGGACAGGAAAAAATGGGATCTATTTCTTCAGCAAAGAAATATGTGCTTATTCACAGTGATCCTATGAAATATTTTGTTAGTCTCTGGGTTGGTTCTCCCCACCCCCACCTTTGGAGATGTGCCTACCCTCCCCCATCTTATCCCCTTTCCTTGTTTCTTTGCCCGCTCCCCACCCCCATCCCCAGGGATCCCTAGCCTCTCACCGCTGTTGGGTACTCAGCCAATCTCCCTCTGTTTTCTCCACAGCAAGCCCCGCCCAACACCGACTGGCGTTTCTCTCAAGCCCAGAGACCCGGCACAAGCGGGTAGGTGACAGAATCTCCAGCCCACCCTCTTCTCTGCGGCATTTTCTCAGTGATGACGAGGGAGGAGATGAGGGGAGGGCTCGGTATTTTCTACAAATGGCTTCTTCCCTCATTTCACGATTTCAAGGAGGCTTTTGTGTCTTGGGTGCTGCTACACAGGCCCCCCCCCAGGAAAAAGAGATGACTACTCCACCTATTTTGGAAGCAAAAATCACCCACTCACCCTCTTCTTTCTCCCAGTCACAAGCACGTTTTCCTATCTCCTGAAGGCTCCTTGGGACCCAGGGATAGACGGGTGGGGGTGGGGTGAGGAGGGTTTTCTGTACCCAGCCATTGTTTACATTCTTCTGTCCTGGTCGAGCCTGGCTCTAGCCTGACCTGTGACTGGAGCAGAGGAAATGGGGCATGAGAAAAGCAGGCTGTCCCCAGTCAGAACCTGGAGGAAAATGGAGGAAAGAAAGAGAGAGAGGAGAGACAGGCAGGGCTGTGGAAAAAGGAAATCGCACAGCTGGAGGTGGTACTGCTTATAAAATGGTACATCTCATGACAACGGGAGAAACAGGAAGCTGTCCTAGGGAGGACCAAGCCAGGGCTCCCTCACCCTGCTCCTCCAGCTGCCTCCTGACCCCACACTTGTACTGCCCTGTCTGCTTACCAGATTTGTCTCTGCTTCCTCTCTTTCCAGCCTGCATCCTCCCCAAAGTCTCTGCCTGTTTTAGGTCTCCGCCTCTCCCTTTCTCCATCTCTGACACCTGTGTCACCTTGCCCTGGTCTGCACCTTTCCTGTACTGTGCCTGCCATGGCACGGTGCTCAATACAATTGGAAGGAAGGAGACATTCAACTCTTCCTAGTGCCAGACTGTTTTTCCTTTCTCTCTGTCCCTTGTTCTCTTTTGTTTCTCTCCCATTCCAATTATTTCCTGTGTCGCTGTGGCCTTCTATCTGTGTTCCATCCTCCTCTCTCTTTCCGTTTCCCGTTCTGTTCTAAGGCTCACTGTGTCATTCAGCCTCTGTGTCTATTCTGTTTCTCATTCAGAGTCAGTCTCTCTCTCTCTCTCTCTCTCTCTCTCCCTCCCTCTCTCTCTCTCTCTCTCTCTCTCTCTCTCTCTCTCTCTCTCTCTCACACACACACACACACACACACACAATCCCTGTCCCTCATTTCTCATTTCTTGGCATTTGTGGGCAAGCTGGCACCCAGATGCCTCCGTCTCCCGCCCCTCACACTTGGAGCCTTTGATAGCTGCCCTCCACCACTCCCCCTCCCACCCTGGCTGACCCAGCTGCTCATTTCAGTCGGGTATAAATTCCTGCTGAGACAGGAACCCCCTATGGGGGTGGGGAGGAGGGTGGACTTCAGCAGAAAGACCTTCAGTTGGTCTGAGGGGCATGGGATGGGATCTGGGCCAGCCTGCTAGGCATAAGCCAGGAGCTGAGAAGAGTTGGTTCAGGGCAGGAAGCAAGGCTTGGGCTTGCTCCCTTTCTGTTTGTCCAACATGCTAAGATGGTGAGTTTTGGGGCTTCCATTCTGCTTTCTCTTCAGGGGTCAAGCCCTAGCTACAAGAATCCAGAAGCCTTGAGTACAAATTCCAGCTCCTAGGCATGCGCAAGCTTGTCTGCAGCGTCAGGAATGCAAAGAACTTCCTAGAAGGCCCCTAAAAGGCAGCCAGAAAAAAAAGGCTGCCACTGCTGTTGCCCCTGCTTTGACCAGAGCTGTTTCCTTTTTCCTTGCTGGCGTTGCCAGCCTTCTGTAGGTTGTTCTTATACTCATTCACTGAGTTTTTATTGAGCATTTACTATGAGCCAGGCACTGTGCTAGCATGCCTGTAAGAATGAACAAGCAGACACCCATAGAAACTCTAAAGTTTCCAGTCCAATCAAGGAAAGAAAATGGACAACAAATCACACTAAACAAACACAAAATTGTCTAGTTACAAAATCCTTGAAGTTCATGGAAAAAGAGGACGAGTAGAGTAGGGAAGAGGAGATTAGGAAATGCTTCCAGGAAGGTGACGTTTGAGTTGCAGCAGCTTTGAGGCATGTTTTGCAATAATGCTCCTTCTACCCTGGCCAGCCAAGACCCTGGCCCTGAAGCCACAGTTGTTGCTAATCTTGGAAGCCCCAACAGTTGCTTCTCGTGTACCCCTGGGGAGCATCTTTTTCCCTGCCAAAGGTCTCTCTCATCAATGAGAGACCCAGAGACCCTGGCAACTCTTAGGGAGATGACAAAGCTCAGGAGATTCCCCCTCCCATAGCTAATTTGCTGCAGTTAGGACGTTTTTGACTCTGCCCCAAAGTGGCCATGATGCAACAAAAGCATCGGTGTAATCCAGAGGCTCCAGCTTCCCTCCTTCATTCATTTAGCCCTCAGCAAGGATCTTCGGCAGTTCATACATGGTGGGATAGGTAGAGATGGCCCCCAACCTCAGGAGTTGGCAGTGTGCTGAGTGTTGGGAAGGGCAGCCTGCCATGGGGATCTGACCTAGTCAGAGAGCAGAAAGACATCAGAAGGCAATGAGGTGAGGAAATCTCAAGGATGAGAGCAAGTCAACCAGCTGAAGACAAGGAAGAAAATTCCTTCCGTAACCCAGGGCGAACTTTAAGGCAACACTAGTAGGCACACTGCCCAGACCAAAGGGCAAGAGTCACATTCCAAAGTTCTTTGCTAGTTGATGCTTCTTCTTCCCACACTGTGCCTTGTCAGGTCATCCTTCTGCCCTCTGATCCCAGCACAATGACCGTTCCAAGTCTTGAGCCCAAAAATCTATTTCTCTCTTCCGGGCTGTAACCCAGGCTGTGCCTCGCTCTACAGTTGTTCGCAGAGTCTCAGGCACCAACCACCTTGTTCCCCTTCGTGTTCACATTATATCCTTCCTTCTCCAACCTGGGAGTCCTTCCATTCCTCCACGGAGACACTGTCCCCCACCCCACCCCACTGTCTCTTAGATTGGGCAGTTGTTCAACAAGCAAATAACAGCTTTCTCCCCGCTCCTCATAAAATAGTACATTCTCGGGGCTGGAGAGTTGGCTCAGATTCAGAGGTTGAGAGTCCTTGCTACTCTGCCAGAGGCCAGAGTTCAGTTCCCAGAACATATATGTGAGCAGCTCAAGAGAGATAGAAAAAAAGGAGATATAGAAAAAAAAGAGAAACTTCCCCATAATCTAGGAAGAACTATTAACATTTTTTTTGTTTTTGTTTTTGAGACAGGGTTTCTCTGTGTAGCCTTGGCTGTCCTAGAACTCACTCTGTAGACCAGGCTGACTTCAGACTCACAGAAATCCACCTGCCTCTGCCTCCCAAGTGCTGGGATTAAAGGCATGTGACATCACTGCCCGGCTGCTAACATTTTAGTATAGAAAAAAAGTATAGATATGAAAGTAGACTGTGCTGAAGCTCTCAGGCCCTACCATTTAGCCCTGACTCTCTGCACCATCTCTGGTGCTGCTGAGATCCCCACACTGTGCCCCCTGGGATTATTTCTCCAATCAAATCCCAAACACAATTTCATCTGGGATTTTTCCGGTCTTTTTTTTTCTTTCAATCAGATGTGCTGGTGAATGTCTTTAATCTCAGTACTCCGGAGGCCAAGGCAGGCAGATCTCTGTAGGTTTGAGGCCAGCCTGGTCTACATAGTGAGTTCCAGGATAACTAAGGCTACATAGAGACTATGTCTAAAAAAAAAAAAAAGAAAGATTCTTTTTTTTAAAAAAAATATGCATTTTTAAGTCAGGCAGTGGTGGTGCACATCTTTAATCCCAGCACTTGGGAAGCAGAGGCTAGTGGATCTCTGTGAGTTTGAGGCCAGCCTGGTCTACAAAGAGAGTTCCAGGACAGCCAGAAATACACAGAGAAACCCTGTCTCAAGAAACCAATATATGTATGTGTGTGTATAAACTATGTTTTATATATAATATATATATATATATTTGCATTTGGTTTGGTGTTTCCTAAGTCTCTTAATCCTTTTTAGTATAAATGTTCCTTTTCCACCATTTTTGTCTTTTGGTTGCAATTTATTCATGGAGTCATTAACATACTCATTATGTATCTTTTAAGCATTTTTATTTCTATAGTCAAGCTGCATACATAAGCTTCTTTTTTTTAAAGTCTGACAAACTTGTTCACAATGAGAATTTTTATTACCAGTCAACTGTTGTTATATTTCTTACCATTTTTTTAAAATAGGAATTGAAAAAAACTAAAAAAAATTAAATAGGAATTGAGGTCATCTTTCCAGTATTACTGAAGCCTATTTTTTCTTCCTTATAACATGTCAGAAGAATTCCTCCATATCAGTAGAAACTCTTCAGAAGTCTTTTAAGTGTTGCATAACAGCACCTCATGTGGATAGATACGGATATTTTCAGGTGCTAATAGATTCTTGCTATGCTAACTAAATAAACATTCCTTCACATTTTAGTACAGACTGTTGTCAGTGTGGCTTTCCCTGGCTTTTCGCTCTTTCTTAGCTTAACACAGGGAATATTTTATCGCAGCACAGCCCATATTTGCCCTTCCCAGCCTCCGCACACAGGGATGACCAGAATGCATGGGTGCTCTCGGGAAATGGGCTCGTAAACACAGCCCACCTCCTTCACGTTGTTTACTTTCGTCTTCAAATCTTGGGAAAGCCCCCTGAATCTGGTCCTAGGGATCCAGGGACGCCTTGTTGAAGCCAAGTTTCCCTGTGTGAGATCATCATGGGCTTTCGGGTCATATTAGGCCAGCTGGGAGTTGCAGTTCTCTCACTTAACTAGCTGTGCGTGACTCTGAGAAGGCCTTCAAGCCTTGCTTTCATCTGCCAGAAATCAGGGATAATCATAACCCTTATCGGCAGGGTGCTTCTAAGGATGAACTAGATGATGAACACGGCCCAGGAGGCCCAGGGCTCAGAGCCACCCCGCTCCCCACCCTCCCCCAATCCGGGTCATTTCTTGCCCAGCTGCAGAAAGCTGGCGGCCTGCCCACTTGTTTGGCCTCTAGCCTTCAATCATTTTCCTGCCAGTCCACCAGCCATGGTTCGAGGCCACCCTGGCACACACCGTTTTCCCTAGGTAGCACTGTCCAGGCCAGGGCACCCTCTCACCCGGGTTACTTCCACCTGTGTTCTCCCCACACCTTCAGCAGCCCCTGGGCTCAGTCAGATGAGACTGAAGGTTCCTGGGCTGCATGAAGACAGGGGTTTTCCTGTCCTCTTAAGAGGACCCTCACACCCTCCATCCTTGCCCAGGAGCAAGAATGAGTTTCACATATTTAAATCTCACCATGGTAACCTAGCTTCTAAGCACCCAGGAGCATTCTAGAACTCTGAGGAGAAAGCCAAAATGTTTTTTTTGCTTCCCTAACCAGTGCACCCCACACCCCGTACCCCTCACCCAAGTTAAGGAGGACAAGGACATGTCCCTCCCCTGCCTTGAGAGCTGAGGACATAGCCGCCCCACCCCATCCCACCCCACCCCCACCCCGTGAGCACCTTGTGAGCTGTCTTCCACACCCCTGCCTCCTAGGTGACTCGCCTTACCCTCAGGTTTGTAACCTTAAAATGTCTCAAACCTAACCAAAAGTTGAAAGGACAGTATGCTAAAGTACACAGATTGGTGTTAAAATAAAAAAGCAAAAGCACCTAATTTACTATTCACTCGCACAGGTTCTTCCCTTCCGGAGCTCTGTAAAAGAACTGCCGCCATCACATTTGATTCCTGTGAAATCACAGAAATCATGGTCGTCTTTGAGGACATTAATACTGATATTGTAAGGCAAAGTCCACTAGCCTTCCCACATGCTCTCACTATAGCCTTTTAATCTGCTTTTTAAATTAAATTTAGAATTTGATCAAGGAGCATGAATTACATTTGCCATGTCTCTTCCTTCTGCTTTAATCAGAACAGCCTCCTTACCTTTGTTTTTATGACATAGATACTTTTACTCTTTTTCTTTGCAAATTTATTTTTATTCTATGTGTATTTGTGTTTTGCCATGGTGTCGGGTCCCCTGAAACTGGAATTGCAGACAGCTGTGAGCTGTCATGTGGGTGCTGGGAGTTGAACCCCGGGTCCTTTGGAAGAGCAGCCAGTGCTCTTAACCACTGAACCATCTCTCCAGTGACACAGACACTTTTAAAGCTTCCAGACAGTAGTCTTTTAAATGCCCATAGTCTGGGTTTGTTGATTCTTTTGGCTAAACAGCAACATAACTCAACAGTCTCAGCAGGAACATTCCACGGGTGGTATTCTGGACTGACCACTGACCACATCAGGAAGCACTTACTGTCAGTTTGTCCTATTAGCAGCTTTTGGCATCTGTTTGCCTTGTTATCAGAATTGTTTGTTCACTTGGTAGAAGTTGTGTCCCCAGGCTTCTTCATTATGGCTATTTTCACTTTTGTCTTATCTCTTCTGAAACAAACTCTCTCTATGTGGCCCAGACTCACTTCTAACTTTGGGGCTCAACTGGTTAACCCACCTCAGCCTCTGCAGCGCTGGGATTACAGACACCCACCACAGGGTCCAGCCTTATAAGGCTATTTTTATCTATTTATCTTCTGCTAGGCAAGCACTCTACCGCAGAGCTAGTCTTGGTTTTTTTGAGACTGGGTCTTTCTGTATAACCAGGCTGGCCTTAAACTCAGTCTTCCTCCTTCAGTCTCCAGGGTTACACACAGATGCATGCACATACACTCACATGTGCTTTCTTCCACTCTTCAAGAACTGTCCTGAAGCCTTTTCCTCAATGCCAAACTTTATTTACTTCATAGGGACCCGACTCTCCTGTGAGCTCTTCTCATTTATTCAAGCAACTTTTATTTATTTACTTGTTTGAGGCAAATTTATCCCTATGCAGCTCAGACTAATCTCAAACTCTCAAAAATCTTCCTGTCTCAGCCTCCCGAGTGCTAGGATTATAGGCATGCACCACCAGGCCCAGCCAGGCAGCAATTGTTGACTAGGGATCTTCTGTGAGCCAGATGGTGCCAGTGTGGGACAGAATATGTGTGGGGCAACATAGGTGTGTGATTTCTTTCCTCGCCCCTGCAAACTAGAATAATTTGATCTTTGAAAAATTCATATGATGGTTAGGATATACCTGTAATCCCAGCACTCATGAGGCTGAGGCAGGAGAATTACTGTGAGTTTGAGGCCCACATAGGTTATATGAGTTGTAGGCCAGCCTGGCATACAGAGTGAGACTGTCATGAAAACAAACACAAGACAGAAACAGACAGAGAGGAAGGAAGGAGACACGGAAATTGTCACCATGGGAAGGTCCACGATAAACTGCAATTTCTTAGCACTCTTTGGTTTTAGAGGCCTGAGTCACTCCATGCTTTCAGTGCACAGTGTTTCCCAGTGACCTAGAGAAGCCCAGGTGCTCAGGCTTCCTGCCGAGTGTTAGAGTAGGAGGCTGGCACTGGTCCCCAAGCCACAGAGGTCAGTGTGGCAGGAGCAGATGGGACACCAGTAGTTCCAGGACCAGACAACAGGGTACAGCCCAGCCCGGTGAATTTTAGAATCCCCTGGGACATATTTTATTTACATTGCTAAAACAAAAGGCTGTGGTTTGATCTGGGGATCAGCTAGAGAGAGCTTGAGAGGGAAGTCACTGGGAAGCTGGCGAGAGCCGGGAAGGTGTGCTTGTAGAACAGGACAGACAGTGTGGTGTGACTGTAGACTTTATACCCAAGGCTTAGGGACCGAGCAGATCCGAGTTTGGGAAACGGCGGCTGTCGGGTTACTTATGGCTGAGTGTTTTCCTGGTATTTCCTCTCTTGTTCCTGGCCCTTCCTCTAGCTATGGGACATTCCCTCAAATTGTCTTCTTCCGCTGTCCTCGGAAGATGGTCTGATGTCTCAGGCTGCGACAGTGGTCACAACCCATCTTGAAGAAAGGAAGCATGGCATTCATTTAATGCACCTGGGACAGCAGAGAGTGGGTCCGGGGAATGGACTCACTGGGGTTGGCTTCTGAAGGATTATATAAACTCCCCACTCTACTCAGAAACAGGTCTTAGGTATGGGGTGGGGATAAGGCACTAGATTTGGGAACCCCGGGAAGAGACTCGGGGAAAATGAGCAGGGCTGGCCTTTGCTACTGCTGACCATTTAACTGTCTCCCCAGCTCCCAAAATGGTGATGAAACCGGCACCTGGCCCAACAACCAGTTTGATACAGAGATGCTGCAAGCCATGATCTTGGCCTCTGCCAGTGGTAAGTGGTACCCATGGGTGTAAGCGGATGGGAGACTTAGGGAGGGGGTGCTGCCATCATAGCTATAGATGGGGATCTTCGATGACCTACCTCCAGGTTTAGGGATAACAAAGGGATTGAGAGGTCCAAAAATGCCCAGAGTGAGCAAGTAAAGTGAGTGAGTAGTCACAAATCTAACTGGGAGCTGGGTGTGGAGGCACACGCCTGTAATCTCAGTATTCTGTAGGCTAAGGCAGGAAGGAGGATTACCATGAGTCTGAGGCCAGTCTGGGTTACAAAGCAAAACCCTGCCTCAAAAAACAGACAGACAGACAGACAGACAAATCTGACTCTGGGAAGGGCTAACACAAGTCACACCAGAGTTCTGCCGTTTACTGACCTTGTGACTTGGAACTTCAGTTCCTCAGCCAGGAAAATGAACAAAAACCCCACCAGGCTATTGTGAGGACTGAAGGGGAGGCACAGACTGTGGTACTGGGCCCGGCACACGCCGGACCCCGTTAGTGGGTGTGGATGTTCCCAGCAGACTGTATCAGGTCACTCTTTTCTGCTCCCCTGCCTCCACATCAGGACTGTAGTTTTCCCACAAGGCTAAGAAAGAACCTCAGTCGTAACATGGATTCAGCCAGTGGTTGTATATGAAGACTCACAGGGTCCTCTGCAGGGCAAACAGAATCAGCTCCCTAACACTACAGAGCACAGACTTTGGAAGCAGGCCAATCTGGGTTCAAATCCTGCTTGTCGCCACTTAGGGATATGACATTAGGTAAACTAGTAAGCCCCTGTAGGCTTTACTTTCACTTATGAAATACTTACAGGTCTCACTGTGCTGTTTGAAGGTCAAGCATGAGGTCCTCTGCATAGGCTTGGCAGACAGTAATTCTAGTAAGAGTGTTATAATTGATTAGTCATTATCTTTATTGACCTGTAGGGATAAAAAGAGAAAGGAAAAAAAAAAAAGAAGCACTTTTCTTTTGAGACAGGGGCTCCTCTAGCCAGGCTGATTTCCAACTCCACATGCATCTGAGGATGACCTTCAACTTCTGATCCTCCTGTCTCCACCTCCTGAGTGCTGGGAATTATTGCTGTGTGATACTCTGCCTGGTATCTAAGGCACTAGGGATCAGGCCCCCAGGACTTCTTACATGCTGGACAAAGACATCCCAGAATCAGAATCTAACTTCGATTGTACACATGTGTGAAGGTACCACAGTAAAACTCATTACTTTGTATTCTAATCCAAAAAATTAAATTAAAATGGAGTAAATTATAAGAATAAGAATCTAACACCTGTTGATAAGGACTAACTTCTGGCCCAGGACAATGAAGTCTACTGGAAACTTATAGAAGATGTTAAAGCCCTGGACTCACACCTGAGTCTATAGCTTTGCTCCTGAGTGTAGCTGGGGAGTTGATAGGTACAAAGCCAGGAGAAATGCGTCCCTGTCATCATGGCACAATGTGTGCCGGCCAAACTTTTAGGGCACGCTTCAACTAATCCATCTCCTCGGCGAGATGCAGGGCCGAGCAATGTGAAACGCCACTCACCTGGAGCGTCCCAGTATTCAGCAGAGCTGGGATCCAAACACCTTTGGCCTTTAGATCCAGCCTGTTTCCCTCTTAGCTGACTGGACCCAGAAGCTGAATTCTCCTGCTGTCCCTGCATTATTCTCCTTGATTAGAGTTGCCAGATAAAATCTAGGGTTTTCAGTTAAATATAAATTTCAGACGAATATATTCTTTTTGGTTTTATTGTTGTTGTTTTGGGTTTTTTTTCTTTCTAGACAGTTTCTCTGTGTAGCCCTTGCTGTCCTGGAACTCACTCTGTAGACCAGGTTGGCCTCGAACCCAGAGATCTGTCTGCCTTTGCCTCTAGGATTAAAGGAGTGCCCCATCACTGCCTGAGTTATATACAGTTTTAGTATAAATCCATTTTAAACTGTTTCACAAGACAAACTGTATTAAAATTTTTCATCGTCTACCCAAAGTTCAGAGATAGCTGGAAACCATATATTTTTCCTTGTTATGATTTATTAATCTTACCCTCGATTGTCTGTGAGAGCCAATGATGCCTGGCCTATAGCTGACCAATGGGCAGAGGAGGGGGAAAGATGCTGGGGGTTGTCAACCTCTTGTGACAGGACTGAGATCCTTGTGAGACCAGTTGCAGGCACGGGGCCTGGGGAGGTGCCAGATCCAGCTCTTGAGGGAAGTAAACAGGTCTCTTTAGCTTTTGTGGCCTTGAGCCCTAAGGCCAGAAAGCAGGCTTTTCAGCCCAAATCCAGATGCTAAAAACAGACTGGAAGCAGTATTTATGGCCCAAAACCTTCCCAGAAGGTCTCCCTGGAGTAGTGCCATGGCCGCGGGCAGGCTCCCCTGTCAGGGCTCCACCCATGCAGCCCACACAGGACCTGACCCGAGGCTGAGCCTGGGGCTCCGGGGAAATAGACTCCAGGGTGGAGGTGGCAGGGTCAAGCCTTGCTCTCACTTTCACACCTACTTCCGAGTCTCCCGAGAGGCTCCTGGAGCCCAGCCCAGCGAGAGGAGAAGGGAGGGACCCTCGAAAGAGCTCTTAAATAAACCCTTGGGGGAGGTGCACCCAAAAGGAGGCTGCGGTTTTGCAGCTCCGCCAGCTCTGAACTTGCTTGTTTCCTTGGCTATCTCTGGCTATTGCTGTTGTGGAGTCTTTGTCTAACTAGGACTGGTAATATTAAGGGGACCAGGGGAGGGTGATAATGCTTTTGGAGCTGGAGGAAGCCAGCACCCCTCCTCCAGCTAGAAGAGACCCTGTCTCTTTGCGTTTCTAAGTGCACGTCCTCTGTGACTAGGCAAAAACCCTGGTCCCTGCCTAGGCCAAGTCTTGGGGGGTAGGACATAACCAGAAGATCAAAGTCGGCACCCCAGCTTCCCCCCCCCCCCCCCCCGCCCCCAGATTCAGAGACGGGCAAGTTGAGGTGTACAGGCCCTGAGACAAGATCACACAGCCACTTAAGGTCGAGCTGATGGGGCGGACTCCAGTGTTAGTCTCTGCTGCATGCAGCGTCTCTATCTTCTCTCCCTTCTGATCCACCTCAATTTTAGACCCCCCCTGTCACTCAGTTAAGCACTTCCTGTCTTTCTGTCAGTCCTCCTTCTCTATTCCCTCATTCTTTAAACACACACACACACACACACACACACACACACACACACACACCTATCTTCTTAAGCCCCTAAATCACTTGGAATCCTGGCTCTTTGAAACTGGATCTAGGCCCTTCCCCCTTCCTTTCTCAGGCTGGCAGAGGCTGTCAGCTTGAGAGGAGGGGTGGGCCACGGAGGACTGCTACCTCCTGGAGTTAATTAGGGAAATGTCAGCAAATGAAAGGGCTGAGGGGGATGGGAGAGGGCAGCTGTTCCCTCCTCCCAGGCCTGCTCCTGGAAGGCCCTCAGCTCCAGGACTTCAGGGACTGGAAACGGAGAGCTGTGGGAACCCAGACCCTGGATGGGAGTGCGAGGCAGAGAGACCCCGCATACCTCTGCTCTTCCTTTCTCTGGCCTTCCCCTCTTACCCAAACTGGAACTATTTCCCGTCTCGATTTCTCAATCCCTGGTTGATGTCCCAGAATTACTCAGCCTCCCTGGCTTTAGTCTGCTTGCTTCCAGGTCTAGGGTGGAGGCCGCAGCGAGGCGGTAAACTCTCCAACTTTTAGTCAGGCTGGGCAGGGCCTTCCTGGGGCTTTAACTCTCGCTCTGTCACAGAGGGTTTCAGAGCCTCCCACTGGGAATCTGGGAGCCAAACTCTCGTTTCCCTCCCTGCCACCAGCTCCAGGCAGAGAGCACGGTGTGGACTGATGAGGGTGACAAGGGGGGCAGCTGTGCCCAGCATTTATCGAACACTTGTCAAGCGCCAGAGCATTGAGTGTCTCATCTAATCCTCACGGAAGCCCCGGGATGGGTATTTCTGTGCTTCAGCTCTAATACGGACTCGGATCCTCGGGAGATCTCGTTACCATGCAAATCAGGAACCTGCATTTGGAGCAAGTCACTCCGAGCTCCAGTTTCTTCTTCGGTTCAGTGGGAAGCTGGCCTAAGGGGCACCGAGTCACCCGCCTCAGGCCCTGAGCCTCATATCTGGGCTATACCTAAGACATCTGTTCCTGGAGGGAGGGGCAACCTTCCTTTGCCCATTTCTTTGCCCCCAGAGCAGAGATATGGTCCAAAGTGGCGAAGGAGGTAAAGGTGCCTATTTCCGCCATTTAGATACACGGAAGACGGAGTCCCACTGTAACACATACTGCCTGCCACTGGCCTTCTCTCAGCCTTGGCTCCCTGTTTGAAGGACAGAGGGCCCCGTGCCTGACTGAGTGCTGTGTTGAGGTTTAAGTGACTACACACGTGCTTGCCATCACGTTGGCAGTCCAGCACTGTCGAGAAGAGGATGCAGCCAGGCCTGGTGTGCTCAGTGCCTATCATCTCAGCCTTCAGGAAGTGGAGGCTGAAGGATTTCTAGTTTGAACTACCTGTGTTTTGTCTCTTGACTTCTCTCTCCCCCTAGCTCTTTATGCAAGGAGTCTGGAACTCAAGACCTTTTTCTCCAAAAAACAAGACAGAGGACATAGCTCAGTGCTAGAGTACTTGTGCAAGGCCCATGGTGGGTCCTTAGCACTGGGGGTTAGGGGTGGTGGAGGACAGAAAAAGAAAGAAATACTTCTGTTGGGCTGGCATGTTAACACATATCTGTAACCCCAGCACTGAGGAGGCAGAGGTAGGCCTGGTCTAACTAGTTTCAGGGCAACCCAGTGCTACACAGTCTTACTGTTTTCGCTTTTTTTTTTTTTTTTCCAAGACAGAGTTTCTCTGTGTAGCCCTGGCTATCTTGGAACTCGCTCTGTAAACCAGGTTGGCCTCAAACTATGAGATATGTCTGTTTCTGCCTCTGAGTGCTCCCCCCACACCGACTTACCTATTGTTAGACCTTGTATTATACAAAAACTGCCTGGCCGTGGTGGCGCATGCCTTAAAAACCCAGCACTTCAGAGGCAGAGTCAGATGGATCTCTAAGTTCAAGGCCAGCCTAGTCTACAGCGTGAGTTCTAGGATAGCCAGCGCTACAGAGAAACCCTGTCTCAACAACAACAATAACAACAACAACAACACACACACACACAAAACAACAAGGGCTGGACTAGGTATGTAGTTCAGCTTGGGGAGTGCTTGCTTAGAACAGGGGTTCAATTACCTGCACCACACAGATAGACATATGTACAAACACAAACGGAAGAACCTCTGTATACACACGAATGGCAGAACTGCTGAGTACACACATGTGCCAGGCCTTGGCTAGGGAAGGATAATGTACAAAGCATGGTCTAGTGTGGGGAAAGTATTTGAAGCCACAGAGAAATGCTAGCTAGCATGTTTTGAGCACCGCCACACACCAAGGTATTCTAGGCACTTTAGAAGCATCTTCTCATTTAATTCTCACCCAAAGTGAATACTCTCTGAGATGGCTCAGAGGTTAAGAGCACTGCCTGCTCTTCCAAAGGTCCTGAGTTCAATTCCCAACAACCACATGGTGGCTCACAACCATCTGTAATGGGGTCTGGTGCCCTCTTCTGGCCTGCAGCATACACACAGACAGAATATTGTATACATAATAAATAAATAAATATTTTAAAAAATTATGCATGAGAAAACAGATAGCACAGGGAGTCTAGGGAGACTAAGGATCGCAGGGCAAAGGAGAGCTGGAACTCAAACCTGTGTTTTGTCACTCCTTGGCATCAAGACTGCCCTGTATTCCCAGCGGTGCGGTACCAGCATTCACTAACTGATGTTTATGGGAGTCCCTGACTCCATCTGACCATTTGTTCTTCCTGTCTCTGCAGAAGCTGCTGATGGGAGCTCCACTTTAGGAGGGGGCGCTGGCACCATGGGCTTGAGTGCTCGATATGGACCCCAGTTCACCCTGCAGCATGTGCCCGACTACCGCCAGAATGTGTACATCCCTGGCAGCAATGCCACACTGACCAATGCAGCTGGCAAGCGAGATGGCAAGGCTCCAGCAGGCGGTAACGGCAACAAGAAGAAGTCCGGCAAGAAAGAGAAGAAGTAATATGGAGGCCAGGCCTTGAGTCACAGGGCAGCCTCCCTCCCCAGCCAGTCCAGCTTGTCCTTACTTGTACCCAGGCCTCAGAATTTCAGGGCTCACCCCAGGATACTGGTAGGAGCCAAGGCCATGCTCCCCCATTGGGAAACAGAAACAAGTGCCCAAGTCAACACCCCCTCTCTGTGCCCTAGGGGGTTGAATATGCAAAGAGTTCTGCTGGGAACCCCTATCCATCCAATCAGTGATTGCACCCACATGGGTAGTAGGGTTAGTGTGGACACAGAAAACCATGCCACACTCCCTTAGTTACAGCTGAACTCCTCCACCTTCCAACTCAGTCAGGCTCATTCATCTCCTGCCTTCCTCTCCCACCCCACCCACTCCTTCAGTCCCTCTCTTGAGCAAGGGCTGTTGAGGGGACAGGTGACCCAAGCAGGCTCCTAGTTCTGAATTGTTGGAAGACTATCACAACCTTTTGGCCTCTCCTTCAGTTCAGCTTCCCCTCAAAGCATGGTTTGGTACCAGTCTTCTCATTTCCTTCTAGAGCCCGAGATTAGTGCTTAAGTTTAGGGGGACAGTCACCACCCCCTGGTATTGATGCTTGCTGGGTTTTGGGAAGGCATTTTGCTACCAAGTCTCTTTTCAATGCCTGGGGACCAGTCTTTTGTGTTTCACTGTTTGATGTTCCCACTGCATGCTGTGACTCCCCTGCTCCTCAAAGAAGAGACTCCTTTGCATGTCTGGAGACAGTAGGGGGTGGGAAGCTAAAGGGAAGTTGAATGTGGGGCAGTGGACAAAACAGCCCGCAAACAGGGTGTGCGGGGCTCTGTATGTACCCAGGGTACGCCCAATCCCCCAATTCTAGCCATAGACAAACACCAGGTCAGACCCCTCCATCCTGGTTCAGCCTGGGCTGAGCCACCAGGACCAGTGGTTTTAAGCTGGCATTTCAGTCCAAGAAGACTTCTAAGTGGTTTTAGGACCAGAGAAGAAAGAGGAGCCTCTGTGGGTGCTGGGTACTCCAGAGGTGCCCCTGGTAGAAGGGTCAGTGGTCCTTGCAGGAAGGGAGACCAGGCAAGGCCATTCTTGGCCCCAAGGAGCTCGAACAAGGGATCAAGTGGCCATAAAGTCTCAGCCAATGGTGGGGCTTCTCCACTGGGCCCCTGTAGTTCTCAAGCCCCTGGCCTCCACCTTACCGGGTGCCATTTCTTCTCAGAAGGCCTCTGCCCAGGCCCCAGGCCGCCCCTTCGTGGCCAGAGACTGGTTAAAGCCCCCCAGTGCCTCCTTGTGCATAGAACTTCCTCTGCCCACCTCCTCTGACCCCGCCCTTACAGTAGTATAGAAGCCCCCACCCCCACCCCCGGCTGGTGTAGAATAGCCAATAGTGTAGTGTGGTGTGCTTTTACGTGATGGCGAGGTGGGCAGAGGGCCGGTGGGCTGTGCGCAGCCGTCTGTCCTTGACTCTCAATCTGCCTGCGCAGGCCTGTGCTGTGTTTTGTGCTGTGTCCACAACGCTGCGGCGACCCCTCCCTGTACTGACTCCTCTATAAAAAGCTTCTCTTCGCATAGTCACGTAGCTCCTGCCCATCCCCCTTCTGATATCTCTCGCAAGTTTTATACTCTAATATTTATATGGCTTTTTTCTTCGAAAATTAAAAATTAAAAAAAAGTTTTCTTGACTGAAAGGTTGACTGCGTCTGAGATGGAGCACAAGACACGTGGGTGGGGTCAAGGGGTTTGTCCTAAATAATAGAATCAAAGAATAGAATCAAAGGGTCATAGTTGTTTGTCTTCTGTGTCACTAAGCATCTCAATCTAGTTTTGAATTGCGCGCGCGCGCGTGTGTGTGTGTGTGTGTGTGTGCAGTCCTCATATGACTGTCCAATATGGCGTGCATGCTTCCGATACCCTGGTTCTCTAATAAGTGATGTAAATGGTGCTTGTCGATCTGTATGCGGTGGTGTTGCTGCAGAGACCAACGTGGGGGTGGGGAGTTTGAGTGCGTGCGCAACTAAGTGCGCAGATTATTTATGTTCTGTGCTGTCTCCAGGCAGAAAAGGAGACCTTGCGTGGGAGGGGGAAGCAGGAGCACGAGTGGGGCGGGAACTCAAATGCTGCTGGGAGGGCGGTGCAGGGGACTTTTCTGTAGCTCCCGCCCCTTCCCCCACAAAACTACCTCCCTCTGGTCACCCGAGTGGGTTGATCCAGAGGAGGGCGGGGTCTCCTTTGCCTACCCTCCTCCACTACAGCGGTAAAGGTTTGAAGAAAACAGTGGGAGTGAGGCAATTCCTATCTTGAGCTTCTCTACCTGGAACTTGCCTTCCCATTCTTTTTATGCAGCAAAGCCTAACTGGAGAGCCTATCCCTTTCTTCATGGAGTCAAAAGAACTGTGCGAGGAAATGGCCCTGAAACCCAGTCCCCACCTCCCTCTTCTCTGCGGCTTCTCCATACCCGCACTGGCTTCCAGCACTGCTAATCCGATTCCCGGGTTGCCGCAGCTCGCCGCAGCTCGGAGAAGGTGCAGAGTCAGGATGGTTGATCCAGAGAATGACAGAAAGACACCACAGGTTTTCAGGAGGGTCAGTGAGGGCATGCCTATCAAAGAGCCAGAAGAGCATTTTCTGGGCTTTCTCCCTTGGATTCTGGTTACCAGTTCTGCCACCTCCTGATCTGTTGCCATGGAAACCAAACCTTTCTGGCGACTTTGCGTGGGAAGGATGGTGGTGTGTGAGGTTGCTGAGAGAGCAGGGTTTTCTCCGAGCCTGGTGTTGGGGAGGGAGGAGTGCTAGGTGCCTGGGTTCTATTCCAGGCAAGGCAGCTGACGGCGGGGCAATGAGCAGCTGTGGTTGGTCCTCTAATTGGTGTGTGGGCCCCAAAAGATGAGATGAAACGCACAGCCTCTAGGGTTTAGAGGCAGGTAGCCACCCCCACACCTCCGGCCACTGCCACAGAGGGTAGCAGCTGCACAGGTCCAGGAGCTATTTAAAAGGTTTTTATTTCTAGTAAAGGGCTGTCCAAAGGCCCGCCCTGTCTATCACTGGCAGGCTCACTGTAAGGTGTCTTTATGGGAGTTACAACTTGCTTGGACAAGCCTAGCTTAGTGTCAAGTCCTCTGGTGTTTGCCTGGGGCTTCTGACCCAGGTTGGGCAGACTCAGCATCCCAATCTGAGTTGAGCCCCTCTAACTTGATGAGGGATGGACGACATAGCATGGCCAGAAAACCTGGAGATGCTAGGGAAGTGGGGAGTTGGACATGAGATAAAAAATTAGGGCTCCAAGCCAAGCCAAAGGGTCACAGTGTGGGAAGAAGCTGGAAGTAAACGGGGAAAACAGCCCTGAAAGGGGGCCCTGGACTGCAGAAACCACATGCATTCATCATGCCCAAGCTCATGTCTGCTAGACTGGTTAGCTTTTGACTGGAAAATCACTGAAGAGATGCCCAGACTACTACAGTGAAAAGAACCACTTCAGAGTTTTACAAAGGAGGCTGGAGGGAGGTTCTGTTTCAATGCTTTATTGACAGTTGGAAACAAATCCATCAAACTGGAGGTGATGACATCCCAGAAGCCCAAGAGGCAAGGAGTTTGCATTTTGCCCCCTCTACTTAAAAAAATTTTTTTTAATTAAATGCATTTTAGCAAAAGTGATTAAAAAAGAAAAGGGTCAAAGTCCCAGATGTCAGCTAGCAAGGAGGTGGCTCAGGTAAGAACCAGACCCTGCATCAGTCTTCTCAGGAAGTAGCCCAGGAGCTCTAGCAACCCAAACCATCCTCCCTGGCCACAAGGGCCTGTACTGGCCCTTGCATTTCCTAAACTCCCCCATGCTCTGGCAACTCGAATCCTGTGTCAAGCCTGGACAGTATCTATCATTCCTTCTCTGTAGCATCAGAGGGGAAAATGAAAGGGGCTAAGGACAAGAAAGTGACCCTAAGTCAGAGAATCTGAGCTTCCTGAGGTTTGGGCCACCCAGTCTGACTTGTTGCTTCTATACTTCAGGGTGGGGGTGGGGAGGTACAACCCTGTGCCACTTCTCAGCATCCACTTAGCATCTGCACGTTTGGCTTGATAATTTAATACATTCATGAAAACACAGGATTGGAGCTCTTGCTATCCTACGGTATAGCCCAGCCCAACCAGACAAATGATCTTGCCCCAGAATTGATGCTAGGGTAGGGTCTGCCTTGGCCTCAGGGTTTAAGTCTTGAGGGATGGGGTCAACACCTAGACCATGTTCAGGACTGACCCCAGGAATACTTGAACCTACCATCAAAGCCTCTTTTATCATGGAGGGGGAATGGATCAAAATTATTTTCTTAAAAAATTTTTTCATATAAAAATAGATCCATTTGCAAAACAAGTTCTCAGCCAGGAGGCTCCACCTCCCATTTCCTTGGATGGAGGGGGTGAGGTGTTGGGATGGTCACACTACAGCCCACACTCCAAATGAGATGCACCAAAGCTCTGGGGAAGGCATAGGGGAGGGGGGCTCAGTTGCAGGGTGGAGGTGGGGGAAGGGCTGGTGCAGAGGGCCCAGGGAGGCAAGGGCACAAAGCATGGCAGCGGGCAGGGGGCGGGCCCCACACTGTCGCTATGCCCTAGCTACCTGCCTATGGCTCAGACCTGGGCCACAGTGGAACAAGGAGAGTGGTTGAGACCCTTTGCCTGGGAGACTTTTCCCAGGAAAGTGGGGGTAAGGATGGGATTTGCTTCCTGCTTTTGCAGAAGCAGTTCCCAATGCCACAGCACTAGTAATAAATAACTGCCAGGAGGAAAAGCAGAGGTGACAGCAGCGAAAGGATCTAGCCCAAAGGTTCACAAGTCCCATGCTATTCTCAGGGCCAGAGAAACCACAAAAGAAAAGCACAAATCCAGCAAGATTGACCTAGGGGAAGGCCCACTAGGAAGTGGGGCTGAGAAAGCAGGCTGGGTTCAGTCTGAGACCAGGATCTCTGGATAACATGGAGGAGACAGGGTTAAGGCAGCACACACGGACCCTGCTTTGGTAATACCACAGCCAGGGTTGGCTGGGCTGGGCTCAGGCCACCCCTACACTGCCCTTTCCTTCTGGCCTCCAGGAAGCTGAAGCTGTGTGTGATGTTCAGAGAGCAGCAGGCCAGACAGAAAATCAGGGTCAGGTGATGGAGTGGCCACTGCAGAGGGATGTTCCCTTGACCGTTTAGGCACATGCTGCAGGTAGACAGTCTGGGCTTCACTTAGGAGCAGCAATGGCCATAGAGCCCAGCTTAGCTTGCACGGCCAACCAGCTCCTTGGCTTCTTCAAGGATTGTGGGGACTCCTTCACTTTTCTTGGGCACCTTAGCAGAACCAGCAGCCATGGCATCATCCTTGGTCAGCTCCGAGGCTAGCAGAGATGTGACTGCACACCCAGCTTTCCTGTTGACTACAAGAGAAAACATGAGATCCTGTTCACAAGTCTGATTTCTAATCTCTTTACAATTTTACAGCAGGTGTTCAGTCAGAAGCCATGCAATTGTAGTAGCTGCCTTGTCTGGTTCAGAGGTCTTTAGAGCAGAGACTCCAGAGACTCAATGTAAAATAGACTCTGGTGCAAATATGAAGGCTTGGATACAGCTAGACAAAATAGGACTTGAGGGACTGGGGAAATGGCCCAGCAGTTAAGAGCACTGGCTGCTCTTGCAGAGGTCCTGGGTATAGTTCCCACACCTGTATGGCAGTTCACTATCATCTATAACTTCAGTTCCAGGGGACCCAATGCCCTTTTCAGGCCTCCATGGGCACCAGGCATACATGGGATACAACACATAAATGTATGCAAATCACTCATACACATAAAAATAATCTTAAAAAGAAAAAAGAACTGGGTTTAAGTGTTGGCTAAGTCACATATCAAGAGAAACAGAGTACTCAAAGCCCACTTTTCTCATTTAGGTTTGTTGGAATTAAGCATGTTGGAGCTTAACACATAGGATTATTTTTCGAGGCACTCCATAAAGCATGTGGGTAAGACTGAGGCAGCCTTCAGGCTTGTGAGGGTTTCTTGCAGGAGTGCAGCCACTGTCATCACATTCCCATGCATTTCTTCAACAACCAAAGCCCACACCTCTTCAAGGTGTACAACATACGTGTGCATGCACACACACACACACAGGGGTGAAGTAGTAAAATGTATACCAGAGAATGCCAAGAACGACCAAGAGGGAAATCCTTGAAAGAAATCTTAGCCAAATCTCTCCTGCTCATTTATAAATCCATACTTGGGACCCCAGTATCCTCAACAGGAAGACAGCTTCTTAGGACCATGCCCATCACATGACAACCATCTAGTTCCATGCTGTTTTAAGCAGTATGTAGAGACTGCATATATCTTGAGCAACCAGGGGTTTTAAAAAGTCAGACATAAAATGCTATATTATATAAACTGATTCCTGCAAGTGCCCAACTTAAGAGAAATTCACAGAGATAGAAGGCAGAATAACAGGAAAAGACGGCATGGTGGCTCACACATGCAATCCCAGTACTTGGGAGGCTGAGGCAGGAGAATTCTTAGTTGAAGGCCAGCAAACTTAGAGGCTAGCCTTAGCTATGAGAGACCCTATCTCAAAATTTCTAAGTAAGTGAGGCAGGAGGGAGTACTGTGGTTGGAATGTAAAATGAAATTTAAAACAACAAAAATTTCTAAATAAGCAACTAGAGATGGAGGAACAAATACCCCTTGCTCCTACCAAAGTTTTTAACTTAAAATTTGATGGAGAAGAGTCTTCTGTATTTCTGTTGCTTTCATTGGTTAATAAATAAAGAAACTGCTTGGCCTGATAGGTCAGAACATAGGTAGGCAGAGTAGACAGAACAGAATGCTGGGAGGAAGAAGGCAGTGAGGCAGACGCTATAGCTCTCCTCTCCAAGATGGACGCAGGTTAAGATCCTTCCCGGTAAGCCACCACCTTGTGGTGCTACACAGATTATTAGAAATGGGTTAATCAAGATGTGACAGTTAGCCAATAAGAGGCTGAAACTAATGGGCCAAGCAGTGTTTAAAAGAATACAGTTTCCATGTAATTATTTCGGGTAAAGCTAGCCTGGCGGGCGGCGGGAAGCAGCCCACCATTCCTACTACAAAAATTAAAGTTCAAGTCGTTAATGAGATGGCTCAGTGAGTAAAGGTACCTGACTCTGAGCATGGTATTGAGCCACGCCATGTGTATGCATGTATGAATGCACATACACACAAAATTTTAAAAACAACAACAATACCAAGAACTGGTGAAGGGGAGAACTCACTAGAGAAAGAAGGGTTTGAGCCTGGTGGTGGTGGCACACACCTTTAATCCCAGCACTCAGGAGGCAGAGGCAGGTAGATCTCTGTGAGCTCAAGATCAGCCTGGTCTACATGGTTTGTATATGCACTAAACCACTGTTAGATACTCCAGAAAAATATGTACAACTTTTATGCATAAGTTAAAAAGTAATTGCTAATGGATATGGGGTTTCTTTTGGAGATGATGAAAATATTTTCTGAAATATAACAATGGTAACAGTTGCACAGTCTTGTGACAGTCCCAAAACTGTATATAAGAGTGATGACATTAAAAAAAATAAAAAATAAAAAATAAAAGCTGAGGTGTGGTAGCCCACACCTTTAGTCTCAACACTTGGGAGTTTGAAGCAGGCAGATAGATTTCTGTGAGTTCTGGGCCAACCTAGTCTGCATAGAGAGTTCCAGAAAAGTCAGGGCTACACAGTGAGAGCATATAAAAAAATATCCAAAAACCCTTCCTGGGACCTAGGGAAAACTGGAGTGGAGAAAGCAATGGCTAAACCTCAGAGAACCAGCAACAAGTACAGCAGCACTCCCTAATGAAGGCTGCAGGACTGGGTCACGAGCAGGTAGAGTTCATAGGGGCACAAACAAGGTGTCCGCTTTGGAGCAGCAAAAAACTTTAAGTAGGCAGAAGCCAAATCAAGCAAAGAGCCCAAGCCTTGTCCAGGACTGGCAGGATCAGGGCAGAGCCATGACCCAAAGAAAGCTACTGTTTTTACACACACACACAGAAGCTGCCCACAGGGCAGGGAACACACAATCTGCCCACAGATTACCAACTTAGAGGTCTCTTCCTCCTCCTCCTCCTCCCAAGGGCTCAAAGGGTTGTCTACCAAGAGGAGAAAGAACAGTAAAAATCCTGCTGACAGCACATGGGGTATCTGGGTAGAGATCACAGGTGCGTATATGTATAAGAGACCTACACCCTCAGGGGCTTCACCAAGTTAGATGGATGCTGGATTGTGAAAACAAACCATTGCCTCACTAACTGAAAAGTGTGTGCTTTCCCTACGTTTTTAGTCTCTCCTCTTATGTGCTTCTTTAACTCTCTTTTTGGAAGCATTCAATTCTCCAGGATCCCACTGTCATGCCCAGAAAAAATGGTTGTTCAATATCTCTTCACTGCAACTACATATGTGTATGTATACACATGTGCACATCCATCTAACTCTAGTGGGTGAGCTGAAGCATCTGCCGACTCTAATACCTGCTGTGGAGTAAGCAACACAGAAGCTAGAGTTCCAGGGCAGCAAGCCCTAAACTGCTGCTTTCTTTGGCTGTTTCCTCTAAGATTCCCTGTTGTACTTAATTCAGTTTTAGGATATTTCTATACTCACTAGATTTTTGATTCATTACATATTTCCTAAAAACCAAGGGAACATAGCAGATGAAGAAAACAGCACAATTTCCTTTTTAAGCCTTAAAAGTAGGTACACTAAGGATGGACATGAAGTGGTCCAAGGTTAAGAATGAGAAAGTTCTTATTTCAACTGATGAAACCAAGGGAACTCCAGCATCCCAACTTTTGATCTATCTCTAGGGTCACTATTATGCTAAGCAGACTAAACAATCAGGAAAATTGACTTCCTTTGTATCTAAGACTACCCAGTTCTTACAGTAGCCATAGAACCAGATCAGTGTTTGACTATGAAGTTTCTGGGACAATTACTAACTAGGATAATGGACCCACAGATTTGGGTATAGAGGTGGAGTATGAGAAAATAGTCAAATCTAGACTCATAGAAGGTAAGGCTAAACAAACATGTAAGTAAAACCTGCTAAGTAATACTAAGAGCACAACTCAATTAAAAAAAGTGCAATGGATCAGGAAAAAATCCTGAGACACCAGCTATGAACTAAAGAGGAAGTGTTCGTGTTAATAGGCTTCCTCGGGGAAGAGGAAACTGGGACAGATGGGACAGTCATTACCATCCTAATAACTCATCATTGTCTGAAACCATACTAATTATATCTCTTGTCCTATTTTTACAAAATTGGGGAGAGTAAGGATACAGGAACACTCTTTCCAGACAAGGGGGGTCATCAGAAAACCTCCCAGGCATAATTTTACCATTCCCAGAACTCTCTTTGTAATATCCTATGCCAGAGTTTTCTGGCCCAAATAGAGGTCACTGTCATTTCCTGTCCAATAATGCAGGCTTAGTAGGAGGAGCCCTGGACTTGGATTTACAAAAGTTGGATTCAGTTCTGGTTTAGGATCTTAATCCTGTGTTTTTTACCCCCTGTGTTGCCCTGGCTGTCCTGGAACTGGTTCTGTAGATCAGGCTGGTCTTGAACTTGGAGACCCACTTGGGTTTAAAAGCATGTTAACTCCTGCCTCTGAGCAGGGTGTATACTAATTAATAGAAAGGTCTTTAGTCCCTCAAGGCTCTAACACAGACCTCGATTAGCATAAGTGGAGCTTGTACTAATCTGGGAGACAGCAGAGACTTCAGTGAAATAGATTTCTTTCCTGACTTTCATTCTAGTATGTAAGCGGCCTACGTACAATTCTGGCTTAGAGATAAAGTTGAGTCATTAAAACCACAAGCTGACTCAATCACAGCTGGAAATAGGAGCTGTAATACAATCACAAGGATTCTTCCCCTTGACACTCAAGCCATTGTTCTCCCACACCCTTCAGACCACAGCAATTGACATGGTACTTTTAATGAACCAGCCCTGATAGTAATGCTCCTCTTCCAAGTCCTCAATGGGTCTTTGTGTAGGGTCGCTCCTTCATGTCTCTGGAGACTGGAAGATTTTAGCATTCCTGGAGGCTCTAGGGAAAATCTAGTGTCTTTGAATAGAGACAGCTGCCTCTGGGAAAGAGAAAGACTGTAAGGCAGATGAGCCCAACAGTTTTCTGGTTCTTTGGCTCTCAGTACTTGTCATGAGGAGTGCTTCTCAACCTGTGGGTCTTAACCCATTTGGAGGTCACATGGCAGATATCCTGCATGTCAATATTTACATTATGATTCAATAACAGTGATGTGGGTTTTCCCTCTGTATGCTGTGATTACCATTGATAAATAAAGGAAATGTTTTGGGCCTATAGCAGAGCTATAGGGGAACAGAGCTAGGCGGGGAAAACTAAAGTGAATGCTTGGAGAAAGGAGGCGGAGAGAGAAGCCATGGAGCTACCACCAGAGACAGACACTGGGAACTTTACCCGGTTAAGCCACTGCCATGTGGCAATACACAGATTAATAGAAAGGGGTTAAATTAAGATGTAAGAGTTAGCCAATAAGAAGTTAGAGCTAATGGACCAAGCAGTGATTTAAATAATATGGTTTCTGTGCGATTATTTTGGGGCTAAGCGGCCTGGAACGAAACAAGCAGCTATAAAGTAGCAACAAAATAATTTCAGGATTGGTGGGGTCACCATAACACGAGGAACCACGTTAAAGGGTCACAACATTAGGAAGGTTGAGAACTGCTTCATGGGGGCAGTCAAGAGGCAGCCAGACAAAAAGCAGAGCAGCTAGGTCCAGCAGTCCTGGAGGGAGCTTGTGACCCCTGGGACCTCTGTACTTTGAGAATGGGGCCTTCAAAACTCCAGTCTTTCTCTTTGAAGAAAAGATTTTAATCCTTGGTAAGATACTCTGAAGTCACTTTCTGTTATGCCTGATGCAAGGCCACACCCTTTAGATGATGTGCTAGTATCCAAGTCTAAAAAGCTCACAGTGTAACTAGAAATGTTTTAGAGGGTCTCCCAGATGTTTGGTAATCTTAGTAAACCAGATCAGAAAGACAAGATTACAAGCTGAAGCGGATATAAACTATGCAGTCCTTGTTTTCAACTTCTTTTGATTTTAGTATTTCCAGTAACTCCCCTAGAATTGCCTTTCTAAATGGGAGAGAGTACTCTGACTAAAATCAGGTACTCTACTGAAAAGGTAGTTCTGAAAAAAATCTTTTTCTCTACTAGTAAGTCCTGGTTTTTCACTAGGAAAGCAACAGAGAATGGGGCATCCCCAGCAGAGGGAAGTCACTGATGCCTGGCTGCTTATACAGGAAGCATCTGGGTCTCTAGTACAATTCCTCAGGAAAAAGCTTAGAAGGGAATTCCCCACAAAAGTCTGAAGCAGGCTGGAGACATGCTCATGGAGACAGCACAGTGAGATGCATGGTACTTTTGATGGGCAGAAAACAGTGCCGTGAGAACCTCTACAAAAACTAAATACCCAAGGAGTGCTGTTAGCTGTGCTCTCCACACAAAGGCCTATCTGTAAAACTACAAGTCCTAACCAGAGTTCTAAGCCCTTCCTTCATACCCACTTCTCCTTCTGAGACCATTGGAGGTAGGACACTGAGTTTATACGGGCTAGTATGATCTGCACCTTGCTAGGGTCCTCCTTCCAGGTGTGTCAGCACTGGAGGTCCAGAAGCATCACCGTTATCTAGCCATCTTCTCTCTACAGCAGTTTCCAAGTGAAGCTCATAGCAGATGTGTCTACAGAGTGGCCAAAAAATGGGGGCCAGGATTTAACTTTGCCAAAGATGCTTCTGTAGTAGCTCTTACCCTTTGACAGAAAGAAGCTATCACACGTCTAGGCCTCCAAAGGGTCCTAGTGAGGACTTCCTAATGTGAAAGGAAGAGGCCTAGATAATCCACTCTTAGTGCAGAAATGGGAAGTTTCTAAACCCTGGAACATCACTCTGTTCTTCAGCCCTCCACTAGCATGATCAGGAGCAGAGGCCCCACACCCCCTCCAACACCCAATTGGGTTCCATTTGTTTACTTACCTTGACGGGGCCCTCTCTTTCGTCGGAATGCTGCCCCCGACTGCAGAGCTTCCAGAAGACTGTCCATCACACCTGTCTCATCTCCCTCTGTCATGGACAAAGGCAGAGGTGTAAATTCTTCAGCCAGATCAGCATAGCCAACACCAAGCTGTGCATGAAGTGCATGACTGCTGAATGGCTGTCCCTCCCCGCTCCCCCACTGGCTGGCAGCTCAAAACAGACAGAAAGGTTCACCCTCTCGGGTTTACTTTATGTGTGTGTTGAAAACTCACTGCCCGCTAGGCAAGCCCTGGGGCACTTATCGCAGTGCCAGCCCGCTCACACCAATCAGGACCAGCAGACTCCTAGGACTGTCTAACCTGCGTAAGCGGAGACCACAGCACCTATGACAGGCAAGGTGACCATGCCTATATTCCCACTACTTGGGAGTTGGAAACAGGAAGAGGAAGTTCGAGGCTAGCCCAGGCTACATAGGAAGTACTGTATGTGTGTGGGGGGGGACGTGGGGGTGGAAAGCAATTGTTGTAACAATTATCAGTCCCAGTGTTTGCATGAACCACTGAGGGCTTAGGCTTCAGAGGAGGGTTAAAGGAAGAGAGCCCGAGGGTCAAGACTTTTTCACATCACTACTGCTTACAGTGGTTGTATCTTCCTTGAAGACAGCTCTGCTTGTAAAAGCTGAAAAGTAGCCTGGCTGGAATGCAAAGAGTTAATGTACAATCCCAGTTCTAGCCAGGCTCAGTTTCCATGGCAACAGCTCAGGATAGTGAAATCTGAAACTGAAATCCCAAGGAGCTGGTTGGCTACTAGCTAAAGACTAGGGCCCATTACTGCCTGCGCCACCTGCTGTCTGAACATCATCAGTGCAGCTGACCTACATTCAATTCCATTTGCACTCAGAATAGGGTAAGGTCCACTACGCCACCTGCTGGCTGGGCCCTTATCCCAAAGCTATTTGGGACTCCACCTTGCTCCCATTACATCCTATTTAATAAAGAAGTGGAAAAGCCCTGGAGGCCCAGGGAAAATAGGGAGGGAAATGATGGATGCTTGGTGTAAATTTTAACATAGTTAGGGGAATAAAAGGTAAAGGAACTACCCTGAAGGTCTCTGGACTTGTTAGTTAACCACCTTGTTAGTCTCTACTGTTTGTGCTCAGCAAATTTTTAAAACTTGTCAGCCCCAAAAAGCCCTCACTCCAGAGGCTCACTGCCCTTCAGATCAGCCGGGGCCATGTGTTACATATGCTGCTTACTGTATTTCCGCTGCCCACAGGAGTAGTGGGGGGCAGGGAATCCTCCACAGGAAAGAAGCAGAGACAGGAAACAGAGGGCCAGTAATTGAGACCATATGCTCAAACAAAGACATGCTTCTGATGGAGAAAGAGGGTGGCCAGCTTTTCACCCCCTAATAGAAATTCAATCCATTTATGGTCTTTCAGATGTGCATACAATATGTTAAGAGGTAATAGGAACACCGTGCGGGTGAAATAAGAAGAAAGAAGAGCTACTACAAGATGGGAGGAGTCAGGCAAAGATTTTGGAAACCTAAACATTTAACAGCAAGAATGAGAACAGGTCAGGAAACATTTTGGACAGGCAGAAGCAAAGAGTACGTGGGACAGCAATCCCCAAATCACAAGAGCGATAAGACATACTCCAAGAGCCCACAAAGGAGAGGAAAAAATTAAACATCTTAAAATCCAGCACCAGGAGGTTGGAGGTAGAAGGTTGCCAAAAACCATTTGCCATCCTGTGTAGTTCTAGGTTCTAGACAGAGACGCCTGCCTGAAACCCCTTCACATTCCCACCTGCATTCATGTCTATGAGCTGCTCTCGCTTCTGCTGTTTCTCCAGTCGTTCTTTCTCTGCCTTTTCCTTGGCTAGTTTTGCTCTCCGCATCTTTTCTTCGGTTTCCCGGCGCTTCTGATTCTCTTTGACTGCTTGCTGAAACACAGAGTGGGGGATGGACAGACAAAACCAGATGGAGGATATGTGGGCATGTGTAAACCCACCAATAACAATCAGGAACCCAATGAAAAATTAGCAGTTCACCCATACTCACCAAAAACATATTCCTAAAGTTGTGCAGATCCATAAAGAATTCTTCCACAGACAATTTCTTAGGGTCAAAGACGAAGTAGTCGCCTAGCTCCTTATACAGAGTCTCCATGTTAGAGTGCATCATCCGCAGCTTGTTATACTGCTCCTGTGCATCCTTCACAAAGCTGTGCAGCCAGGGTGTAAAGGACCAAGACCAAGAGCAGAGCCAGGCAGGAGAAGCACTCAAAGATGTAGAATGGGCTGTGCAGTGAACGCCATATAGTATACTGCTCATGACGGAGAACAGAGGCATTCTAAATATACAGAGTGACAAACCATAAGCTATGGCTTACCTATATAGTAGAAGCTGCATAGACTATTACAGACACAAGGCTGAAACAAATGCAGATAAAGTACATGATGTAGTTTCTATGTTAAATAAACAACGAAGTGTGAATCAGAAAGTGGTAGTGATTGGCTCTGTGAAAGGGTGTACTGGTACAGCAAGGAGCAGAGTAGGAACTCAGGCTTTTAGTGAAGGTGGATATGTTTATAACAGGAATGGAACAGAGTAAGCACTCAGGGATTTGTAGTTTATCTGCAAGGTTTGCATTCCCTTCTACATTAAGTTTACTTAGGGGAAAGAAAAAATTCAAAGTGAAAACTAAATATTGCCATCATCTATCCTACTCCTCAGAGAAGACTTTCCCTTCCTAGGGATTCAAGTCCTCCAGAAAGGATATAGTCATTTTCTCAACAAACTTGTCCTTTTCATCTGTGGCAGCAGGGAAGTTCTGAACATCACGTTCCACATCAGCGATCTGTTTCTTCATCTGATCTAAGTTCTTCTGCAAGTTCTCAGCAGAAACTACAGGAGAGAAACAGAAGAACTTACTGACCATCACAAGCTCTCTTAGCCTCACCTTGCAGTCACCCTGCTTAGGTACTTCCCTTTCTTATCTATGTATGCTCCTCTAGCCTACACATGCTTCTTTCTCTGAGTCACACGCTGGTTTTGATCTTTGCAGTAAAAGCATTGATTATTTGCTAACTGAACTTCCAACTTTCATACAGTGTACATACTAACAGAAGCAGACTTTGTAACATTTTAAAAGAACCCATGGGTCCCCTAAGACCTTGGTCTCATTTATTTCAGGTAACAGGGTTTCAGAAGGAGACATAGGTAGGAACCCAGAAGCAGGGTAGATATCTGTCCCATTTTAACCCGGTGTGGTGTTTTGTCTAGTTCCAGACAATGGGACCCTCTGTTTGTTAATCCAGTCTGTCTTTCAGAATGACAAAAGCTGTGGACCTAGACTGAAAGTAACTGCCTTTCCAGCACCTGTGCATATGCATGTAGTAATTCCAAGGCAGGGAAAAAACCCTTCCACTGGTACATAGGTTGTCTTAAGCTTCACACTCCTCCTTATACCTTAGACACCTTAAATTCCTAAACTCTCCTTTATTCTCACTTAAAATGATTTAAAGTCTGCAGTGCCCTATTTCTTTTCCCATAGAAAGACATTTAGGGCACAGAACCACCTTTTAAGAAAAACTTTCAAATTATATTCATCCGTGTATTTTGAGTGGTGTGTGTGTGTGTATGTGTGTTTGGGTGAGAGGACCACTTGTGAGAGTTGTTTTGTTCCTTCTAATATGTTGGTCCCAGTGACTGAATTCAGGTTGCAAGGCTTAGCAATAAGCATCTTTACCTACTGAGCCATCTTGCTGGCCCAGAAGCACCTTCTAGCTTTCTCTACACTACCTTACCTCGGCTGGCTTTCTCTACATGGGCAAGTTCATCAGGAAACTTGAGGACATCAGGGTAGTCATTCTCACATAACTCAGCCAAGAAATGCAACAATGTCATCTTCTGATCTGCAGACTTGGTGTCTCGGAGCTTGGGGTGAGAGGAGAAATCATTACTTGTCCCAAATCGCCTTAGGCCAATACTGGGCTCCAGTAGCCTTCCCTCTGTCATCCTGTCTAACCCCATGGTTTACCTTACAGAGGAAGCTGATATTGAAGCCAAAAGCACCAGCATTCCTGGAGCCAGCATTCATATAGTTTCCAACAAGCAGGGTGATCTCCAGGAGGTTGGAGAAGTTCTCACTCTTACGCAGTTCCTCACAAGCAGCAGTGACAGACACGATCTCTGGCTTGATATTCTCAACTTGCTCACTGAATTGTAGCTTGAAGAGAATGGCATTGAGGCGAGGTCGAAGACGGGGCACTGTGCCCATCTAGTGAGGAAGGCAAGAAGTTCCATTATGGAGCTAATGGAGAAGAGATACCAAAAGATACAGGCTGAGCCTCCTCTGGGAGATTGTAGCTCCAGAGCAAGGAGGCGGGAAGGGGGAGACATAGAGAAATTGATTGACTAAAAGATTCAAATCAGATCAGAAGCAAAGATCAAGTAACCAGGCTGGTCTCCAGAGGGAAGGAAATAAGGAATTGGAAAAGAGTGGACTGCCACAGGCCTCACTCACCACCACGCCAAACTGCTCTGACTCAGCCAGATCATCATACTCGTCCTTCAGTTCAGAGAGCATTTTTAACTGTTCTGGTTCTGGCATCTGTTTAATGAGGTTCTGGAAAAGAGAGTAAATGCAATGTGGGGTGAGCTGAAAGCCTGAGCATTGTGACTGTGACTAGGCTCCATACTCTGGCCAGGGATAATGAAGGAAGCACGGGGTGGGGCGACTTGTTAGATGGGGTGGTTCCTGAGTCTGCTGAGGTACCAGCCCACCAGGGAGGGACACAACAGCTTTGTCAGCCAGCACTGAATCAAAACTGCTCAAAGAAGCTCCCGCTCACCAAGCAAGGCGGTGAGGCTGTGTACAGCTGTGCAGAGGAGCCAGCTCTGACAGAACAGCCTTGTTGCTTACCTGGATCATAGATTCTGTGAGAACAGCCTCATCCACCTCCAGGATAACATTCTTAATTTCTTGATAGGGCATGCGAAAGGAACCCAAAAAGATTGCTGCCAGAGAATGAAACAGAAAGACAGGTTCACCTTATCTTCCTCTCCATTCCAGACCGTGCTGAAAGACCACTGTGCCTAGGTAGTTGAAATTCAAGCCCGAGCCATATGTTCGAGCTTCTACTGTCACCCATTCCTACACACAAGCCACACCATGCCATGCAGTAGCTCTACTGCTTAGACGTTCAACAAACACCATGCCTTGGATCACAGAACTCTCAAAACCACCCACCTTCTGGTTTAGATACCCTCTCCCACAAAGCTGTTCATTCTTAAAACAGTCCAGTTCCACTCCTAAGAAGCACACCATGTTCTTCAGTTCTCCCATGTTCTAATTTGACTCCTCAGTTTTATCAAGAGTCCTCTCTTGGGGTTGGAGAGGTTCAGTGGTTAAGAACACTGGCGGCTCTTGCAGAGGACCTGGGTTGGTTCTCAGCATCCACAGAGCAGCTCAAAACCACCTGTAACACTAGTTCATACAGATCCAGCATCCTCTTCAGGCCTTCTCAGGCTCTAGGTACACATACACACATGTAGGCCCAAACACTTACACTTATAAAGTCTATATAAGCAGCTCTTTCGCTGGATGGTGGTGATGCACACCTTTAATCCCAGCACTTGGGAGACAGAGGCAGGCGGATCTCTGTGAGTTTGTGGCCAGCCTGGTCTATAGAGTGAGTTCCGTCACAGCCAAGACTATTAACACAGAGAAACCCTGTCTTAAAACCAATCCGCACCCACTAAAAAAAAAAAAAAAAAAAAAGCAGCTCTTTCTCTTGACTACTCACTCCAGCTTCTCTATCTGGCCCTATGCATCCCTGGCTGTCCTTGAACTAACTGTAGATCAGCTTGGTCTTAAACCTAGAGATCTGCCTGAATGCTGAGATTAAAGGTGTGTGTTACATAGCCAGCTCTTAAGGTGACCCTAACATCCTTTTCCTTCATCATATGCACTCAAGTCTATCTTAAAAAAAAAACAAAAAACTTCTATTATCAACATATGTTTTCTCTCCTTTATGGCATTTTAAAAACACAATGATCTATTTTTTCAGTAGTAGAACTTTCACCTATTATATCCTCACAAAGTCAATGCAAAGGCAGCACCCAGTAAGTGCACTCTGTAAAAGGTCCTATCTTGTCATCCCTGACTCAAATCTACTAGCCACTCTGTTCTTTGTGAACTTGCCTCACTCAGCTTCCACATTTGCTCAAGCGTCATTGTCCTTCACCTCTCCAAGCACCAGGAACTCTGTCTTTCTCATTACCTTAGTCTTAGGTCCTGATCATCTCATTAGTTTAAAACAGCTCGTCTTCCTTCCTACTCTTCTCCTACTCAGAAACTGAGCCTGAAAATCAGTTGCCAAAGCAGTCTTTCCAAAGCCAACAAAAGGCTGTAACAGCCTGATTAAAATCTCCTCAGAAACTCCCACGCTGTAATGACCTGCAGTTCTTTTTTTTAAAAATATTTTTTATGGTTTATTTAACTTTATTTTATGTGCATTGGTGTGAAGGTGTCAGATCCCCTGCTGGAAATGGAACCTGGGTCCTCTGGAAGAGCAGTCAGTGCTCTTAACCACTGAGTCATCTCTACAGCCCCAAATGACCTGCAGTTCGGACAGCACCCAGTCCTCTCACCCTCCTGAAGTGAGCTAGTTCTTCCCTTAACTCCTTCTAGACCGGTCTTCAACCCACTTTAAACAGCACCTTTCACTTATCATGGGGCGTGAAGACTCCTTGCTAGTGCATGCCTAGGTATTCTAACACACCTTTATGGCAGCAGCCACCTTCAGGCATTGCTTTTTTTCCTGTCTTCACCAGACATATAAGTCAAGAGGACAGAGATTGTCTGACTTAGCTTTGTATTTTTAGGATGAAACAGGCACTTCTGCCTTCCAGACTGTTCAATTCTAATACAATCTAATTGTATGTCCTCCGTCCCTAGTTCTGAGGAATTGAAACAGGCCTAGGATGTGCTAGGCTAACATTCTACTGCTAGTGACACCCCCAACCCCTTAATTCCTTGGTCTTTTTTTTTCTTTCATTTTGCAGAGTGAACAGACTTATTAAGAAGTGAGAAAGGGGCTGGAGAGATGGCTCAGAGGTTAAGAGCATTGCCTGCTCTTCCAAAGGTCCTGAGTTCAATTCCCAGCAACCACATGATGGCTCACAACCATCTGTAATGAGGTCTGATACCCTCTTCTGGCCTTCAGGCAAACATAAAGACTGAATATTGTATACATAATAAATAAATATTTTAAAAAAAAAGAAGAAAGAAAAAACTCACATGAGTGGGAGGGGTCATAAAGGAGAAATAATGACCTGATTCCTTTCTAAACTATTCCCATTTTAATATTCCATTGAGAATAATAATGTACTAATGTCTTTCTTCTATTATTTTCTAAAATAACAACTACTCATGCTTTATGTTCCTAGACACACTCTTAGGAACAAAAATTAACATTACTTTGGTTTGAGATTGGGTTTCTCTGTGTAGCCCTGGATGTCTTGGAACTTGCTCTGTAGACCAGGCTGGCATCGAAATCATAGAGGTCTGCCTGCCTCTGCCTCCACCTCCCAGAGTAAAGAAAAAAATACACACAAATACACAGAGACAGACAGACAGACAGACAGACAGACAGACAGACAGACAGGCAAAGACTTATTGTCTTACTACATCACTCTGAATACCTATGGGTATGTGTACTAATTTGGGTGATTTTGGACAAGTCATAACATCTGAACTTTAGTTTTCTCATGTGGAAAAATAAACAGTAACTATAAGATTATGAATGAGCTTATGGAATATATACTCCTCCATTTATACAGCACATGGCTAGCATGTACCTAGTAGAGCTAGAGTCTGTCACATGCCAGACTCTCAAATATTAGTTGACCAAAAAATTAGTATCTATTACTCAGCATAAAGGAGGTACAGACTGATGGCTGAAATGAACAACAACAAGGATAACATTGATTCTAACCACAAGTCAGGCAGTAACTATGTCAACTTGTGTGACATGCTGGAGTGAACGTGTGGAAGGCTCTCCAAGTGTAGAAGGCCCTTCGACCTGAATTTTCTCGCTAACTGCAGTTCTCAGTCCAGGGGCAAGTCAGAACAGAAGAAATATGGTAGCATATGCTTAATTTTCTGGGGTTACTGATCCTCCTCTGACAGTACAAGATTTACCTCACTCATTCTAAATGTAATCATACTAGTTGAACTGAAGTCACAAAAGCAGCTGCATTCCTTATCAGCAAGTAGAAGGAAATGCACTGAGGCTGAGACCCTGTGGGAGATTTCCTGTTGATGCAAGGAAAAGAAGAACGCTGAAGAAGTTTGCCAGGCGCAATGCTTCCACCTAAAACCCCAGCACTCCGAGGCTGAAGTATAAGGACTGTCAGTTCAAGGACAGCCAAGTTATACAGCAAGATCCCATCTGAGTCCCTCCCCAACCCTGAGTAAAATAAAATAAAAAGGAAACTGAGGCTAAAACCTGAGTCCTGTGTCCTCTTAGCTCTATAACTAGATATAATCTTAAAACCTTCACCTGCTTGACATAAAGCTGAACACTTGTCAATACTGCTGTGCTACTGAAGGATTTGATGAGATACTCAAGCCTCATTGTGCTCTGCCTGGCACACAGCAGGTACCCAACAAGAGGTGTTTCACTCAAAGGGACCTTAGACTCAGAGAAATTATGTTATTACAGGAACACCTTTGTGGGGCAATATTATACGGGCACCGGACCCTGACACACCTTCATAATAGTAGATGCTGGAATCATAAGAATTACTCACAGAGATTCTGGGATGTCTTTGAGTCCAACACTTTTAGCTCTTTTACTTTTTTCTTTTGCACAGATTTCTTTTCTTCTCCACCTTCTTGATCCTTCTTGGCTAGTGAGGGAAATTAGAAAAATACCATTAAGGATACATCACCTCTGTGTGTTACTGAACTACAACTGTCCTGGCAGAATAGCCTTCACTCCAATCTCTCCATTGTATTCCTTCAAGGCTAATCTCATTAGCCACTCTTTTATAGCTAAATGAACCCACAAGAATATCTCCTTTTCATTCTGCAATAGTCATCAATAACACTTTCCTTCTTAAGTAGAATCTACCTACAGGGAACAGCTAACTCTCTGCAAAGAACCAAGAGTAAATATTTCAGCTATTGTAAGCCATATGATCTGTCTCAACTTAAAGTATGTGTACCAGTGTTTTACCTACATGTCTGTCTGTGCACTGTGTATGTACTGAACTTGAAGGCCAGAAAAGGGTGTCAGATCTTTTGGAACCAGAGTTACAGACAGTTGTGAGCTGCCATGTGGGTGCTGGGAATCAAACCTAGGTCCTCTGGAAGAGCAGTCAGTGCTCTCAGCTGCTAAGCTTATTGCTCCAGCCTCCACCTTTGTCTCAATTTTTCAATTCTACTATTGTAGCATGAATATATGTATATATGCCTGTACATAAATAAATGTCATGGCCATGTCCTAATAAAAATGCATTCATTCAAAAACATTCTGTGATATAACTTGGTAACTGCTACACTAAGTGTTACCTACAGTTACCCTTTTATCCCTACCAAAAAGTTTCACTATCTTTCAAAATCCACTTTGAACATGACTTTCCCTATAAAAATGGTTTTAGTTTCTCCAACTGCTTATGATCTCTCTTAAATCATTGTTGAACCTGAACAAAAAGACTCCTCTTCACTATTCAAAGCAACATATTCACCCCTTCCCACAAATCTTCCCCAATAAATGCACCCACTCTCTGCTTTGATAAATATTTTTTTTAAAACTTTATTTAACTTTTTATTTCATGCACATTGGTATAATGATGTCAGATTCTCTTGAACTGGATTTACAGACAGCTGTGAGCTGCCATGTGGGTGCTGGGAATTGAACCTAGGTCCTCTGGAGGAGTAGTCAGTGCTCTTAACCAATGAGCCATCTCACCAGCCCTTTGATAAATAAATTTTCATTCTATTTGTGATCTGGACCTTATTCAATATTTTTTTCAATGTTTCATGACATATATGTACAGTTCTGCTTTTTTAAAATTCCTTTTACGTGTGGAGATTTTCTCATCTCAATTTTGAGCTTCAAGGATACAGGAGAACTATTTCATTAGCATTTCTTCAACAGTTAACTATAGCAAAATTCACTAAAAATGATCAGCACTAGCTCTTGAGGAGGGAAATAGGACCACAATGGGTAGACATAATAAAAATAAATACTGGAAATTCCACAAGCCAGCGACTGAGCCAGCAACCTGGCATGAGCAGGCCTGAAGCAGTGAACTCCATAGGGGCAAGACTGAGCCAGCGACCTAGGCCAGAGTAGGTCTGAGGCAGGAAACTCTAAAAGAGCAGGACTGAGTGGACCTGGGACAGTGAACTCCAGGAGAACAAGGAGCAGATCCAGATCAGGGTCACTTGCAGAGGCAGGACTGAGCCAGCGAACTCTACAGGAGCAAGAACAGGGGAGCAACTGCTGAGCAAGTGGGCCAGAGCCAGAGACCACTGTGGGTCCGGGTTGAAATCTGGGACCTTTAAGGGAGTAGCCCTGAGCCAGGACCCCTATGGGTTTGGACATGAGTCTAGGACCTCAGAAGAACTAGGCCTGAGCAAGGACCTCTGCAAATCTGGGCCTGAGTCTGGGACCTCCAAGGGGAGTAGGCAGGAATCAGAGATCTCTGCGGGACCAAGTGTGAGTCTGGGACCTCTGAGGTAGTAGGCCTGAGCCAGGTTCTCTACAAGTTTGGGCGCACCCGAGTCTGGGAACTCCAAGGGAGTAGATCAGAGACCTTTACAGGACCAACCCCAAGACAGGGACCTCTGCAGGGGCGTATCCAGACCAGGGATATTTACAGAAACAGATCTGAGCCAACAACCTAGGCTAGAGCAGGCCTGAGACAGGAAACTCCACAGGAGCGGAGCAAAGCCAGGGATCACTGAGCGACCTCCAGGAACACAGAGTGACCAATGGCGTAACTAGAACCGTGGCACTGACTGTACCACAAGGAACAACCATTTGAGCCTTGGATTTACTGGCACCTAGAAGATTAATCACCAGAATCACCGACAGCCTCAACCACACTAAATAGAGGAAAAGATGAGTAGACAAAATAAGAACACATGCAACACCACAAAGAGCAACACGACCCCAGTAAAATCTAGAGGCCCTACAACAGCAAGACTTGAACAACCAAATATAGATGATGCAGAAGAAAATGACTTAAAAAAATAACTTCAGGAGAATGTTTGAAACTCTTATAGAGGAAATGAGAAATTCCCTCAAAGAAATGGAGGAAAAGACAAACAAAAAATTGGAAGACATCAGTAAATCCCTTAAAGAAAAAACCAATCAAACATATGAAAGAAACTATTCAAGACTTGAAAACTAAAATAGAGACAATAAAGAAAACACAAGCCAAAGGAATTATAAAAACAGAAATCATGAGAAAACAATCAAGAACCACAAATTTAAGCATAAAGAGCAGAATACAAGAGATGGAAGAGAGAATCTTAAGTGCAGAAGATACAATAGAGGAAATAGACTCACCAGTCAAAGAAAACATTAAATCTAACTAAAGCTTAATCCGAAACATCCAGGAAATATGGGGGTACCATGAAAAGACCAAACCTAAGAATAATAGATATAGAAGGGGAAGTTCAACTCAAAAGCACAGAAAATATATTTAACAAAATCATAGAAGAAAACTTTCCCAACCTAAAGAAAGATAAACCTATGAAGATAAAAGAAGCTTACGGAACACCAAACAGATTGGATCAAAAAAAAAAAAAAAGTGCCCTTGCCACATAATAATCAAAACACTAACACTAAACATACAGAATAAAGAAAGACTATTAAAAGCTGCAAAGGAAAATGGCCAATTAACATATAAAGGCACACCTCTCAAGAATTACACCTGACTTCTTACTGAAGACAATGAAAGCCAGGTCGTCAAGTGTTATGAAGACAATAAGAGACCATGGATGCCAGCCCAGACTATTATACCCAGCAAAAACTTTCTTTTTTTTTTTTAAAGATTTATTTATTATGTATACAACATTCTCCATGTATGCCTGTATGCCAGAAGAGGGTGCCAGATCTCATCACAGATGGTTGTGAGCCACCATGTGGTTGCTGGGAATTGAATTCAGGTCCTCTGGAAGAGCAGTCAGTGCTCTTAACCACTGAGCCATCTCTCCAGCCCCCCAGCAAAACTTTCAGTCACCCTAAGGACAAAACAAGATATTCCATGACAAAACCAAATTTAACCAATAAAGACCCACAAACAGAGCCCTAAACAAAATACTAGAAGGAAAACTCCAAGAAAATTGGCTACATCAACAAAAACACAGACAATTGATGGTCTCATAGCAGCAAATTCCAAAGATGGGAAAACCACACAAATTAACATCACCAACAACAAAAACTAAATTAACAGGTAATAGCAACACTGGTCATTAATATCCCTTAATATAAATGGACTCAACTCACCTATAAAAAGGCACAGGCTAACAGATTGGATACGAAAACAGAATCCAACCTTCTGCTGCATACAAGAAACACACCTCAAACTCAGAGTAAAGACACCGCCTCAGAATAAAGACTTGGGAAAAAAAAATCCAATCAAATGGATCTGAGAAACAAGCTGGTTTAGCTATTCTAATATCAAACAAAATAGACTTCAAACTAAAATCAATCAAAAGAGGTAAAGAAGGACATTTCATATTAGTCTCAGGAAAAATCCACCAAGAGGAAATTTTAACACTGAATATCTATGCCCCAAATACAAAGGCACCCTCATATGTAAAAGAAACACTTCGAAAGCTTAAATCATACATTAAATCCCACACACTAATAGTGGGAGACTTCAACACTCCCCTCTCACCACTGGACAGGTCAGTCAATCAAAGAATGAACAGAGAAATAAAGGAACTAACAGATGTTATGACTGAAATGGACCTAACAGACATCTATAGAATATTACATCCAAACATAAAAAAAAAATCTTCAGAACCTCATAGAACCTTCTCAAAAACTGACCACATACTCGGTAACAAAACAAACTTCAACAAATACAAAAATTTGGAATAACCCAATCAATGTACCAATCAAACAGATCACCATGCTTTACAAGTCCACATCAATACCAATTACAAAAAAATCCACAAACACATGGAAATTAAACAATGCATACCTGAATCATTAATGGGTCAAGGAAGAAATAAAGGGAGAAATTAAAGACTTCATAAAATTGAATGAAAATGACCACACAACATACCCAAATTTATGGGACACAATGAAAGCAGTGTTAAGAGGAAAGTTCATAGCACTAAATGCCTACATAGAGAAGCTGGAAAAATCCCACACCAGTGAATTAACAGAACATTTGAAAACTCTGGAACAAAAAGAAGCAAACTCACCCAAGAAAACTAGATGGCAGTAAATAATCAAATTGAGAGATGAAATCAACAAAATTAAAAAAAAATACAAAAAAAAAATCAATGAGACAAAGAGTAGGTTCTTCGAGAAAAATCAACAAAATAAAATCTTTATCCAAACTAACCAAAAGGCAGAGAGAGAATAGCCAAATTAACAAAATCAGAAGTGAAAGGGGGACATAACAACAGACACAGAGGAAATACAGAGAATCATCAGGTCATATTTCAAAAACCTGTACTCCACAAAATTGGAAACCTTAAAGGAAATGGACAACTTTCTGTATAAATATCACTTACCAAAATTAAATCAAGACCAGATAAGCAAATTAAACAGACCTATAACTGTTGAAGAAATAGAAACTGTCATCAAAAGTTTCCAAAAAAAAAAAAAAAACAAAAACAGGACCAGATGGTTTCAGCTCAGAATTCTACAAGATTT